CATCAGCATCCAGGACATTTGAGCTTTTCCAGGTGAATTTATCCACAAGTTCATCAACAGACTGCGCGCATTCACAGTTGGAGCCACAGCCGTGATTATCATAAACACAAATTGCTTGTGCTGTCGTTTACACATTTTTTAATAAACACAGTGGTTGCCTGAGAATTGTCGTTCAAAAAACACACAGAAATGATTTAGATGAAATGTCAACACCTTTAGAGGTAATGAGATCAACAAGGTGACCTTGAAAATGTGTTGAACTTTTTACATGTTGTGACAGACCAAAAGTACCATGATTAGATAGTCATAGTGTAGGACACAGCATTTCTTCAAATGCAAAAAGAGGATGCCTCAGCAAACATATGTCAGTTTTAAACTCTCTCTATACTCAGCGGTGAATGTAAAAATCTTTTTCTCAGTGCTGGCAAATCGGATGACTGAAAACATGATTGGAAACGGATATCTCCAAAATCGAGGGATCCCAGACATCCAGCAGTCCTGATTCAGTTGATTCATGAAGCTCAGTTGAGGAAAGGCAACCTGACATTAGTCTGGATGGACCTGGCCAATGCCTTGGGATCAATTCCCCATGATCCAATAAGTACAGAGTTGAAGTACGACCACATTCCAGACCGCATCACACAATAATCAGCACTTACTTAGGATGCATCAAAATCTCTACTCTATCATTCTTTACATTAGATTTGAAAACCCCCCAAAAAAATCCCCCACTTGCCCACGGGGATAAAGAAGTTCAGAAGTGTGTTATCAAACCAGTAGACCATCACATTAATCAGTAGCCTAGAAGTAGCTCTCAGATTCAAAAAAAGCTACCGACCCCTGATTTAGATGACGTTCATTTTTGCTCGTAGCTTTAATAATCATTGCATTTCATGCCTACTGTAATTTGTGTCTGATTATAAGACATCTGGGAATGATCAACTGATATTCAACAATCTGATGGGCAATCAGTAATTGCCCTGTGTCATCTCAGAATTCCTCAGGACAACAGTGACTCGGAAAAAGGGACCACATTGGAATGTTCAAGTCCACCACAAAAGACAGTGTCTAAGTTTTTAAAAACAATTCAAATCCGACGTCAAACCTGTTATGCTGCAGGGGTCCTCAGCAAAAGTGAAAAAAAGACCCCAAAGAGACGTCGTTCAATTGATAGTCGCATTATTAAAAAGGGGTCAATGCCCTTCTTTGGCTTTTCATGATTTGGAGTCATACGACTGGTTTAAGTCCCAAAAGTCACTGATCAGAATGGAGAGTTCATTCCGAGCTTTGTTTCAAACTGGAGCTTCTGTCTCTTCTGGTAGCGAACTCGCACCCTGAAATAGACAAAAAGACAAACAAAAATCAAAATTTTAAGCAACTCTGATCCAATGAAATTAACATTGCATTGCTCGTGGTTAATCTAAGTGGTTTAATGGGCCGCTTTCTCGTCATGTCTTCTTCTTGTGTCAAATTTTGTCTCATGGCCCCCGATAACACATTAGTGGGCTCAGTAACTGCAATCTTATTACAACAATAAAATGAGCGACTTGTGATGTTACTTCGTTACTGCCTAAACGTCATATATTACACTGGAAACAACAAACACAAAACCTCCCTTTAAAAACGGAAATGCAAACATTCTTGTTCAAATCAGATATGCAGCACTCGGATGACAGTGTGTACTTCTTACCTTATCTCATGTAGCTTCACCACCTCATTGACTACCACCACCAGCAGAAGAGACAGCGAGACCAGCAGCCACCCAACCAGAGGTATGTCACGGAGACCAAAATTCAGGAGGCTGTCCTGGTCATGCCACAACTGGTAATCCACAGTGGCTTGGACAATCTGACTGAGCAGACTAAAGGAGGGTGGCAATCAGTTACATCATGAAACCCAAAATGCAGGGTTGTTGACCATCTAATTTTTTAATTGATTATGTGTGTAAAATATTCCAAAAATCTACCAAACAAGTTGTGAAACAACACTTTCTTCCTTTTTACATACAAGTATAGAAAAGTATTAAGAGACCGGCATGTTTTCTTCAATTTGTTGTTCATTTTAAAGGTCGAGTGTGAAGTAATTTCTGAAAATCCCTAATGAAATATTTTAATGTCACAGGTAAAGTAATCAAACAAAATACATTAAATAAAGCTGAAAAAAGTATTTCTATTTCGTAAATTCGACAACATAATCGTTTTTCCGAAGTGAGATCCTGGCGAGCGACAAAGTGACAAAATGTGACGCCATTTCAGAGACAATAATAGCTGGGCTCAATATGGAACGTGTACAAAGCCAGTCAGAAATCGATTTAGAAAGCGATGTTTGAAATTTATCTGAGCGGAACCGGGTGTTTGAAGAGTTGGACGAAGAGGAGGTTGTTGGCAAGATGTATGCGCCAGATGCTCGGGATGCAGAAAATGTTGTGCCGGAACATCCGGATGTGGAGTGGAGACAATACCCATCGGGATTGGAAGAATGGTAGGCTATTGAGGCTGCGATTATTTATTAGCCTAGCATTATTGTTTGCAATTTGATCCTGTGCCGTGCTGTAAATTGTGCACGATAAGATCGCCTACTTGGTCCAAGTACAGTATTCTGTATTCCCGCCAGCACTGAGAGCAGACGTCATAGTGGGTTGGTGTCCTACATTGTCATTGCTAAATTCTGTTGCGTTGTTGGCCACTCCACATATTATATCGGCAGCATTGTTAGTTGCAAACCATGCCAGAGGATTCCCTCTGTGCACTCATGTAGTTTGAATGTTTGAATGTATTTTGAACCCATTGGACATCTAAAATGAAGATCGATTTTGTTTTCCTTTTTATTTATGCAGCAGACACCCATTGAACCAGGCGACCTGTTCGAAGCTGCTCTATATGTCAGAGCATCGACCATTTTGGATGTGGCCATCGTATTGGCTACATAATTGCCAATAATACTTGTAAAATTGAGTTAGAATGACATAATACAATCAAAAGCAAAGGTTTGGTATGAATAATGAGTTCTGACTTGATGACCCTGAGCAAAAAGTAGTTTATTCAAATATAATAAACGTAAACATTTTTGGACTAAATTGGAGGTAGTATACTTTCAGTGTAGTTCTTAAAAACTATATTTGTATAAACTTCACAGAAGTATGCTTAAAACTCATTCAGTACCAGCCAATTCTAGACCAAGTCTGAAAAGACGTTTAAAAACGTCTTTGGGAGTGAATGAGTTAAGTATACTTGACTTGTACTGAAAAGTATACAGACAGATCCTTGTATACTTTCAAACTGAATGTGTTCCAATTCAGTACAATTTATTCAAGCATATTTAATGAAGTAAACTTCATACATGCTACTTTTTTGTAAGAGGATATACCTCAAAGGAGTCGAATGAGTTGCCTTGGAAAATTGCTTTACTTTGTCACATCCAATATGGCTGCGGTGTCGATGTACTCAAGTTGCGTCAGTGTAAATGTACAAGAAATCTTGTCGATGGAATACTTGCCAGCAGCTGTCGTACAGGGCGGCAATGAAGACTATTGGGGGGCGGGGGGGTTGAGTGACAGTGCTGCATGAATAGAGTATGCTGGCATCTAATACATGGAGCAATATAAGTACTATGTGCCAGGTATGAATAAATATTGCCCCCCCCCCCCCGCTACCCCCAATGCATTTCACGTGCCTCACTTATGTCTGAGGTCTGTTAAAGTCATAATCAATGTGTGAGAAGCGTTCCAATTGCAGGAACGTAAAGGAAGTAATTAAATTGACCTGTGTGATTTTACAAAGTAGATCAACATTTCATAACTGAGTGTCATTTTCATGAATGATGCAAAGAAGACTATGACTTACACCACAGGTACAGTGAGACACCACCAGAAATTGCTAAATGGACTCTTTCGCCACAGAGACTGGGAACGGTGGACATAGCTGAGCGAGATCACCACTGAAAGGAGAGGGAGAAAAAGACCAAATGATTGCTGATGTCACTTCCAAACACGACTGTAAAAACACAGAGTCTTGGCCGAATAATTGTTTTGTATGTTTTACCTGATAAAACACAAGTCATAACAATAAGTCAGGTACGGCAATAATCATGAGCATTATAACGATTTCATGAGGAGATCCTTGTGAAAGGATAAGTATAGTTTTTGAGTTTTCATTTTACACCTCTATGTGTGTGACTTACAACAAATTTTTGCACCAATTGCAACACCGAGAAATGTTGCTTCATTGACTTCATTTCAATTGAATCAACAATTAGTTTTGATTTGGTGTTTAATTTGTCTGGTGCCAAAGACAAGTCAAAGAATTTCGTAGTGTAACACCAGTTATTTTTCATTCATTTTTTGATCCGCTTTATCCTCACAAGGGTCGCGGGGCGTGCTGGAGCCTATCCCAGTTGTCTTCAGGCAGCAGGCGGGAGACACTCTGAACCGGTTGCGAGCCAATTACAGGGCACACAGAGACGAACAACCATCTGCGCTCACACTCAGCCCGAGGGACAATTTTGACTGTTCAATCAGCCTGCCATGGACTTTCTGCTTGGCTCTCGACGAAGGCGGACGCTTTTTGCTCAGCTCCTGTTCTCCCGCCCCCCCCCCCCCCCCCCCCCCAATCCTCTCCTTGCTCGCCACTCAGTCTACGTGCTGTCTTTGTCTAACTTTTTCCTAGCCTCCTACTGTATTTTCGTCCTAAGAACAAACCATGGAATTGGTTGGCTGGTCTCTCGATGCAATCGACAAAATTTTTTCGACGAAAAGAGCAGGCAGTGGGGAGCCTACTTGCCCCTCGGGGACATTTGCTGCCGGGTACGCCCTAGATCCCTGGAGAATGGTGTGCCTGTTAATACTGTTCGTTGAGGATGTGGAAGACATCTACATTATCGGCCTTCTGATAACAGGCATGCTGCTGTTTGGTGTTAGCAGTTTCCTCTTTTATCGCAAAATTCAACCGACAGTAGCGGCTTTATTGGAAGTGAAGAAGCTGCCGGTCATTCTGGAAGGTTTAGCGCGAATGTCCAACACTCAGACTCAAGTGGTGACTGAGCTCAACTGCAATATGGATGCGGTTTTGGAGCTTCTTCGTGAGATGGAGATCAACTTGGAGAAGTTGGAATCCCCGCTTCGTAAAGAAATTGCGGATTTGGATTTGTCTGATCGGCGCCAGTGAAGAGATACAGGCCACGGACTCAAGGCTGTCTGAAATTGTTGGCGGCCGTCCCTCCAAAACAACGCTATCTGGACCCTTTCCCCTGGATGGAAGTACGCATGGAAGCTGGTGCCCCTACCATCACGCCCTCCTTCTTGGCCATGGACTGATAAGCCAGGACTGTCTCCATGAGCAGACCTTGACGAAGCAGCTGCGGTCTGATACGCACACACAACCAGACAATCACACACGCATACACACCCTTGAAATCACCGCCTTTATTGTTCCGTTTTTTTTTCCCCCCGCGATGTGATCTGATCTGCGGAGCGCACGGGGACCGTGCAGCTGGTCGGACGGGCGGCGTCGCGTTCTTCTTCTCCCCCCATTTCCCATCCATCCGCCCCCTCATTACATGTTATGTCTTGTGACTTGTTGTAACTGTCATATGCTTCTATATGTGCAGGGCTTTTTCTTTTAATCCTGGACTCAAATTATCCTCAGAAGAGTATAGTTCGAGCGTGTTTTTTTTTTTCCCTCTCCATCCCTTGTGGTTTCCTTTCTGAACTAATCTTATCTTATCTTATGAATGTTTTTGGAATGTGTAAGGAAACCTAAGTACCCAGAGAAAACCAACACAGGCACGGGCAGAACATGCAAACTCCACACAGGAAGGCCGGCGCTGGAAATCCACGACCTCTGCACTGTGAGGTCGACCTGCTAACCACTCGACCACCCAAGAATATATATACTAAAGATAAATCACCCATGCATTAAAAAAAAAAAAAAAAAAAAGACCAGTATGTTTTTTTTCATTATTTTTGCAACATCAAAAAAAATCTGCTGTGTATTTATTGAAATAGTTGAATTAAACAAATCTTGTGGCACTCCAGGCGACACCAAGGAGGCTACACAGCACCTGAATTCAGTGTTTCTCACTGATCAGAGTAGTATTGGCCTGGTCTCGATTGGTCTAGATCAGGGGTCGGGAACCTATGGCTCACGAGCCATATATGGCTCTTTTGATGATTGCATCTGGCTCGCAGATAAAAAAATATTCTCGGTTGTTTATTAATGCATCCATCGATCGATTTTTCACTGCTCATTTCCTCGTTCGGGCTGCAGTTGGCTCAAGGAGCCATTTTGATTAGATGATACTGGCCAACGTTGCCATTGCTGTGGAAACAGGTATACACCCCCTTTTGAATCAACCCTCTCGGCCATTAGCTCAAAGCTAATCCTAAGTGAATAAGATGGCGAAAAGAAAAAAAGATGACGAGTTTGGTACACTTCGGGACGAATGGACCGAAGGATTCACCTTTGTGGAGAGAACAGGTTCTGCGGTGTCTGATTTGCAATGACAAAATACCATCGATGAAACGGTCGAATGCAGAGCGGTACTTTGACACGCCCCATGCTAATCAAAATACGGTGCGAGAGATGCCCGAAAGGAAGCGTGCAAGCTACTGAGCAGTGTGCAAGCTAGCCAGCAGTAACTTCGCGTATGGACCCGGCAAGATGACTGTCATTCCGATAGTTTTGCTGGATTTTGAGCAATCGTGAGGAACGGAAAACCATTCACATTAATGGTGTATTATCACAAAATTATTTAAAAGAATACATTCATAGGATTATTACACTGACATTTTGTTGAAATCACTTTTAAAATACATTTTTTATATTTTATATACATATATATATATATATATATACTGTATATGTCCAGTGGTTAGCGCGTCGACCTCACGGTGCAGAGGTACCAAGTTTGGTCCCAGCTCTGGCCTTGCTGTGTGAAGTTTGCATGTTCTCCCCGGGCCTGTGTGGGTTTTCTCTGGATCCTCTGGTTACCTCCCACATACCAAAAACATGCATGGCAGGCTGATTGAACGCTCTAAATTGTCCCGAGGTGTGAGTATCAGCGGAAATGGTTGTTTGTCTCTGTGTGCCCTGCGATTGGCTGGCAACCAGTTCAGTGTGTCCCCCGTCTACTGCCCAAAGACAGCTGGGAAAGGCTCCAACACCTCCGCGACCCTTGTGAGTATAAAGCGGATCGGAAAATGGATGGATGGACTCAAGAGGTTTTGTACATGGCTGTATGCATGACTGGTTCGCGGCGCGACGTCGACCAATGACAGCACGAGTAGATTTATTTCGTGAGCTGATTGGCTGTGCATCTTCACAGCCCCGCCCAGCACCTTCTCTTGTGTCTCATCACATGGTTATTTCTCTGATCAGTGTCTCATCACGTGGTTGACTCTTTGATCATTGTTTGTCAGCTGTGGACTCTCTAATCAGTGTCTCGTCACACTGTTGTGCACAGGCTAGAGAGAGAGCATGTGTGAGAGCGAAAGCAAAAGTCAGCACGAGGGAGTGAGTGAGAGAGAAAGAGAGGGGCTGATTGGGCTTGTCTGAAAAAAGCAGCACTTTTCTCTTCATCTCTTCCTCATCAATACGGATTAATTGTCTTATCATAAAAACATCGGCTGCACGGGGATAGCTGGCCAGCAGCTAGCTGTAAGAGCGGCGCAAAGTGAGAGTAACACATTGCATTGCGTGATGTTAAATGGTTCATTGATTAAATTTAGGATGCCAAAGGCCTTTCGTCGACTCTTCGAGCTTTGATGAGCAGTTCGGACGTGTGCACGATATCGAGAGAAACAAGGGGAAAAAAGTAGGAACATGCATGACATCTGGAATTTGACTCCTTAGCATGACAAGTCATTGCCCAAGGTCATTGTGAGGAGGTTCTAACTTTGTTCGTAGAGTATACAAATATGAATGTATGAACGAATCACAGATTTGTACATCAAACATGAATACTTGATGACTTGGAACTTAAAGAAAGTGTGATGTGATGTTAATGCTGTTGCCACACTGAAAGTGTGAGGACCAACCTTTATGTAAGACCAGGAACCCAGTCATGACTTTTTGTGTCAGCAGCAGGCCATTTGACAGATCACTGAACCAATGTGGAGCATGGTTTGAAGAGCTAAAGGAATCCAAACAACCAATGAATTTAATATATTTTCAATTGATAAGAACACACTTTGAATGGATGGTACATTTTATTTTGGTGTCAATTGATGCAGATATGATACCCTTTATATTTGTATTTATGACAGTGATGACCACGTCATTCAAAAACTTGTGATTACACAGTCTCAATTGAATGTCTGCTCAGGGTAGATGGACTTAGCATATTCTTTTTATCATCACAGTCAAATGATTTACAGTATTTTTACACTTTTAAAGGAGTACTCAATCCGTTGGCAATGTAAATATTGTTGTAATACACCATGGAGAACAAAAAGAGTGATAAATTAACTGTCGGTTAATTGAATTGTTTGACAACTCTTACCTGGCTATGACAATACACCATGGAGAACAAAAACAGTGATAAATTAACTGTCGGTTAATAATTGAATTGTTTGACAACTCTTACCTGGCTATGAGTATATGCAGGCATTTTCCAGTGCCGTTTTCAAACATAGTTAAGTTTGCACTTCTCAGACAGACCTCTTGGAGTGTGAATCCAAAGGCCAACAAATAGGCACACACCGTCACGCCAAATTTCAAAACAAAGCATCCAAGGAAGTAGTTTTGAGTCTAACAAAAAGGAGACAATAGGAAAAGTCAGACCAACGTTGTTTTTTGGGTTCTTGGCACTCGACCGCAACAAGGAATTGTCTGTTGAAATGCAAGTAAAAACGACTTAAAAGGGGATACTGCTATTTTTTCCACCAGTGAAAACAGCTCACAGGTCAAGTATCTTCAACATGTTTGAGGGATGAACTTCTGAGAAACAATCAAAAAATGTTTTTTACAGCAAAAAATGGATGCATGGCTTGAGGAGCCAACGATGAGAAGAAAGGAGCGTCAGCGCAGAGCGCCGATGCATATGTGGAACTGGGCATCGCGGCTTGGAATTGAAGCGGACTACGTGGGACAGGAGATGTGAGCCAATCTCTCTTTCGTCAATGGATTCTTCTTTTCATAACTTTGCTGCTGTGAATTGGGAATTTCTCAATTGTGAGACTAATAAATGTTTTCTTATCTTATCTTAAACTTTGCTGCTTCCTGTTGCATTATGGCACCACTTTCTTATATGGTTTGAGTCTTTCTTCTGATGGACCAGTCCAGGTAATTTTTTAATTACTCAACCAAATTATCGGATCAGCATTGCTCAGCGACCACCGTAGCTAACTGCTCAGCTGGTTACATTATATTACAGCATTACATACTTAATTTATTGCAATTTTATTCCTCAAAACATTACACACCACCACCTTCTTGAGCCTTACAATGGTGGAGGGTTTTTTTGCATCCCAATGCTCCAAGGAGCCAAGTTGTCGAAGGCTTTTGACCATCAGGATGTATTGTATTGTATGACAGGGTCAATCATGGTAAACAGGTCCTAGGTGAAGGACCAGAAAAAGCAGTGACCCCTAATGGATGATTAAAAACATTGGTCCACGTTTTCCCATGCCCAGTCCTAGGTGAAGGACCAGAAAAAGCAGAGCCCTGGCTCAGTGACCCCTAATGTATGATTAAAAACATTGGTCCACGTTTTCCCATGCCCGAATGCGAGTCATCGGGGACTCTTTCTGGAACCTGGGCTGAAGGTGGGGTGTGCGGTCGAGTGCCGAATGACCCTGGAGCCCGCCCACGCAGAGCCTGAAAAGGCAACGCGGGTCCCCCTTCCCATGAGCTCACCAAAAGTGGGAGGGGCCAGAGGGGTTGGGTGCCCTATGAGAGGGCCGGTGAAAAAAATGTGTTGACCTTGGCGATCTGATCCCAAGCAACATAAGTTAGCTCGAGGGACATGGAATGGCACCTCACTGGTCGTGAAGGAACTCCAGCTGATGTGTGAGGGAGAGAAATTCCAACTAGACAGTCTGGTTCTTCTCTGGAACAGATTGGGGTTGGACTTTCTTCTCTAAGTTTAGACTCTCCAGCACTGATGATAGGTTCCCTGTGCTCTTTACATTATATAACAACGATTGACTATAAGTCCACCCTAATAATTACATCATCACATTTTCAGTGACACTGCCCTCCTGGGCTTGCTGCACAAAGATGACAGTTCAACAGTTTACCATTCTGAGATCAGTACTTTTGTTCAGTGGCGTGACTATCTGATGCTTAATGTAAAGAACACTGAAGGTGATGGTGTTCAATTTTAAAGCTGTGGATGACTTGAGGGCGGTGGTTATCCACAATGAACCCATCATGCAGGTCCGTACTTAGAAGTCCTTGGGAGTACATATTGATGATACACTCAGCTGCAAGGGCTCATGTTGAGTGTCTCTGCTCCAGATTGCAACATAGACTACTTTCTGCGCAAACAGTTTTTAGTATGGGCAGAAGTTCAATGTGTTCTATCAAACCACACTGGAGACTATTACTATTGCTAGTACTATAAGCTTCAAAATGACAACCTGGTA